GCTTGAGATCGATAAGCCACTCAGAATTACCCTTATCCATGCCTTTTGCCTAATAAACAAACCTTTTCTTTTTTTCAGCACATTGGGATGGATGGCAACCATTTAGTTCATCACTCCGTGGTTGTGGAGCAATTGAGATCACTATAGCAACAATGTCAAAGGTAGAAATGTGCAAAACTGTAGAGGTGTACGTGGTAGGATTTGTACCGTCACATATGCTTCCAAAGAAAAGACCAATTTCCTTAGATCCTTTTTTGGAACCACTTATAGCGGATATAGAGGACGGCTTCATCAATGGCATCCAAGTCAATTATAATCTAGCAACTTGTGGTAAACCTGCTGGAAGAACAACCATAAGACATTTAATTTTGTGTTTTTCAGGGGATCACTGTGGCTTGTGCGAAGTTGGGAAATTTACTAAGATGGGGAAATCAGGTTGCCGGCGTTGCAAACCTGAAAGTGTGTATGTTGCAGAAACACTCCACTACTATTATCCCAACTTCCGAAAACAGGGACGCTATCCTGCAGAAAAGAAAAGTATCCTTGACAACTTGGAATTGTTAAGTGAAATAGCCACAGAGGAAAGAAGCAGTGTAAGACAGCGACTCTCCAAAGAGAGTGGCTACACTGGACTGTCAATCTTGCATAGACTGCATAATCTTTATGGCTTTTTGTATGATAGAGACTTGGTTTTTTATGAGATGCATATGATTCATCTTAACATTGTCAAGAATGCTATTCTTAAGTTGAAAGAAGATGAGGACAATGCAGTTGACTGGACTAAAGCAGATGAACGCTTAAATGATTTTCCATGGACCACAGAATTCAAAAGTTCACGCATCCCAAGGGGTATAGAGAAACGTCTTGGCTACTGGAAAGCTGATGATTTGAACAAGTTTGCTTTTCCAGCATCTGAGATTGTGTTCCACGAACTTCTTTCACAAGACCAACAAGAAGAATGGCTATGCATTGTGCGAATGGTGGAGTTTCTCCAGAACCATGTAAGGCATGGGTGGACAGAAAATGATGCCGAAACTTTCCGGCAAATGGCATTAAGGTATGCCATTTTACTTGAAGACCGAAAAGGTCCAACAGCTTGCACAATGATTGTTCATAATCTTCTTCATTTTAAAGAAGATACAGTGAATTTCAGTGGACAAGACAATTACTCTTGCTGGAACAAGGAGAGAGCAGTTAGGAGATACGTACGTCAGCCCAATAACCACAAAAACATTGAATGTACTTTTGCATCCAATGAGAACAGCGTGAAGTTCTTAAGTTTAGAAAAGATCCCAGAGAAGAAGTACCAAACCCAGCAAAAACTGATCCAAACAAATTATGGGCAAAATCTATTGAACAGGCCAAGAAAATGTACTTTGCCAACGAACAGGTTCACTGTCAAGCTGATGTAACAGGCATTCTTGTTGGGGGCGCAAACCCATTTCCGGTGAGTGGAATGATACAGCAAGCCATTGCTAATGAACACTCTGTACCTATTGCAAGTGTTGAAGAAGATGGCATAATTTGCCGTAGTGCTTGGTTTCCAACCCATGGCTATGATGGCTTACTTTTTAGAGAAAAGGAAGATGCCATCGTCATAGCTCAAGATGGAGAGGTGACTGTTAAGCTTTTCAATTTTTTCTGTGCATTTGTCGTTAACAAATGGCAACACTTTTTCAGAGCAAAGAAATTTGATGAACAGGGGTTAAGTGACAATGGTATGAAGGTTGTTTCTGAAACTGACATTGACATAGTTTTACCACTTCAAAATGTAAGCAGGAAAGTTATGCTCGTTCCTCATGCAGATGAGGCTGCTAGAGGGCCAATATATGTGGTAAACGATTTCATGACAAGAATTTTTCCAATCAGTGCTGTCACAGTGGTCGTCCCTTATTATCCTGTACGAAATGATATGATTGAAGTAAGAGGTGATGATAAAGATTCACTGTTGAAAGGCACTTGTCCTTGCCTTCAATATGAGGCGGAGAACTGTGACTGTTAAATTTTTTGTAAAACATAGTGGCACAATATGGATACCAGAGAATTCACCAGCCCAAGATGTTCATCTGAATAGTGTTCTTGGAATTGACTTAATGGGAGAATGGGCCACTTGTTACACTCGCTGGGAGGAATTTGAGCTTTAAGCACAAATATTATTGATACATGTGTAAACTTTTAGTAAACAAGTCTATTTCCAAGCCCCAAAATGCTACCCTACTTCGTAGTTACTACAATAATTATGAGTTGTGTATAAAGCAGGAATAAGAATTAACACTTCTAAACATTAAATTTGTATGTGCAAGAGTAATTTATTAATTCAGGTTTATTTCAAGGTATTTATTGCTAAGAAGATGCTGTTTGGCATGTAATGGCCTGCTTCATGCACCATGATTTAATCATTTATTTCAATGTGATGGTTGCAAAGTTAGCTAGCAGTGATATCTTGGAGCATTTCCATTAATTAGTCAATTAAGGTCTAGAGATAACTCTCATGCTGGTATTTCACAAACAATAACTTGCTTTTTTCCCAACATTGGGACATCTACCACACCTTTACTTTTATTGACAATGTACCAGTTTTATTCCAAGTTTGCAGAATTAATTGAAAAAAGAAACCACCAGTGAATTCCCTGGAAAATCACAAATTTCCATATTTTGTTATCATTGTTATCATACATACATACATACACCTTTATTCAAATTCTATATACAAATAAATTTATATATATAAATTTGAAAAGGGGAGTTTGGAGGTTAGCCCTATATAACAGCTCCCCTGAATAAAAAATAAAAAGTAACAAATGTAGAACTATGTACAGAAAAAAAAAAAAAAAAAAAAAAAAGAAGAAGAAAGGAACTATCTAATGTTTACAATTTTAAAAATATTTTTAATCTTAATTTAAAAAGTTCCAGAGTCCCTGCCTCTACAACATGCTTTGGTAAATTGTTCCAATCGCTAACTACCCTAATAAAAAAAGAATTTTTAAAACAATTTATCCTCGAAGATTTGAAGTAAAGTTTATAAGAATGATTAGCCCTTGTGGAACGCACTTTTGTAAATTCGAAAAATTGTTGAAAGTCTAAATGGGAGAGGCCAAAAACAATCTTGTAACATTCCACAAGTGAAAAGTAGGTTCTCCGTGTGGATAAAAGAGGCCAATTTAAAATGTTACATCGTTCCTCGTACGGCATGTCACCTCGTTTCTGTCTGAGAGCTAATCTCGATGCACGGCGTTGCACGTTCTCGATTGCATGTATATCTTTAGGGATTCCACACAGGTACAGCATACTCTAATAGAGGTCTCACCAAAGATTTGTAAAGCAGTGAAAAAGTACTTGTATTGGCTGTTCCAACAGTCCGCCTGACGAGTCCCAGGACTTGGTTGGCTTTGTTTACTATGATACTGATGTGTTGAGACCAGGAGAGATCTTTTGAGATTACAACTCCAAGATCTTTAAAGCTATTAACATCCTTTAAGGTCGAGCTGAGAGTGTAATCCGTAGACGATTTTTCACGGGAATGCGTTATACGCATTGCTTCACACTTTTCCTCATTGAAACGTAATTGCCATGTATTCGCCCAGTGACCGAGGCTATCAAGATCAGATTGAAGTGTTTGTATGTCAGAAGTCAGATTACGGAGTTCTCTATAGATCTTAGTGTCATCCGTATACAATTTAATATTGGACGAATAGTCAAGGAGCTATTTTCTGAAAAAGCCTTATTTAAGGAGTTGGTTCAACCCATCCGACAAAAAAGGTTTGACAGCTGATTCTGATAGACCAATACCTGCTTTTTAAGATAAGATACTATGTAGTCCCGAATTGTGGTACCCCCGACGAGATAAATGGGGTTTTATACAATGACACGGCACACAACGTGGAGACGAGGCTCAAACAGAAATTGACCTCAAATTTCATCTTCTTCCACTAAAGTGCCCCGAACCCTATTAGAAAAATGATGAGCATGTACCTGCCTACAATATAAGTGTTCACATGGTACGACAGCATGTCACGTGATTATCGCATGACTATTTTTTCGACAAAAAGCGGCCTCCTTTGTCGATCCTGACATATTTCATATCCTGCTGAGACTAGGGTAAAGGACGTATTCAGGCCTTTTATCATATCAGGAAACAAAGAGATCGTACAATTTTGAATTACATTTAAAAAAATATATTTGGAAGCGTAGAACTCCAGAAAATCGACAATATTAGTGCTGGTCTCTCCTCCATCAATGTTTACATGGAAACGAGGCTGGAATAAAAGCAACCTCAAAACGGGTGAAAATCTTTGAAAAAATAAAAGATGCTGTGAAAATATGAAAGCATGCGAATGCCGGCATTTCTATGATAGCCTCTAAAAATTGTTTCTATGCATATCTGCTAACATTTTATGTTTATTTCTGTTAATTTATGACAAAAATTAAAAAACGCGGATTTACTAATATTCTGCTGTACAGAGACTGGATTCTGTTTATTGAGCTAACGACCGCATGTGGAACAATAGGTATGGAAGCTTCTTGCCGTCAGTCATTCTTTGAAATTCAAAGGGAGATGACTGCGAGTGAAAGGTACTGGCAACAGCTCTTCACAATGTGAAAGCAGTAGGTATTTTTAAGTGGTGTCATTTTGTAAGTCAAAAAGATACCAGTTTGCAACTTGTTTTAATTTCGTTACGTGTAAACTACAACCACTGATGATAATCTGTCTTACAAACACTTAAGTCTTGAAAATTACCCCCTAAGAAATTTGCTATCTTTACCAATCTTTGTCGCATACTAAAAAATCGTTGAATCGGAATTGTAAAACATCAGTCAAAACCTTCATTTATCGGCCCGTTGTTCGGATCTGTATCGGGAGAGGTAATGATCTGATAAGTACATGTAATTTGCAGACTGACATAAAAAAACAACAACTGTCACTCAGTGTCAGAGGCACTAGAATCATTGTCAGACAACAACTCTTCATTCAGAGGATTGCAGCATCCTTCATCTGCCATACATAAACAGGCCTCCGTACAAGGGAGGTTACTTTTCCTACAGGAACAACTACGTTTACATTCTGAAGTTGTGCAGTGGCATGTTGTTAGCTCCGTCATGCCTTCTGGGGCAGGACTTCTTGTCATCAGAACAGGGAATAGCTTGCCATTTTCCAGCTTCCATCCATGTTCGTCTGGCGAGGGAATGTTCTGAAGTGGAACCAAAGCTCTATTCCAAACAAAGGCTTGGAAGTTAGCCCTCTTGATATGATGAGACAAGCATTCTGAAGTCGGTGGCAGGTCTTCACTTTTCAAATTTCGTTGATAAAAAAGAAAATATCTAACGTCGTCTACATTTGAAAAGTTCTTCGCAGAAGTGTAAAGGGAGCAGATAAAAGACTCAGCAGCCTTTTGCGCAGGCTCGTGTATGGCAGGATTCTGTCCTAGAGTACAGAGATCACGTTGCATCTGTTCTTTCGTCAGCAGTACCTTCCACACCTTCTTCTTCCCTATTCCAGAGAAGGCACTTGTAGAGTCGCAACCAGTCAGTGCATGGAACGATGGAAGACATCTACAAAGAGATTCCCCCAAGGAAGCCTGAATCTCATGGACAGGTAGGTATCTCAGTCTGTCTTTGACGCCTGTTTTTAACCACAGTTCCTGGCAGTTTAAATCTGAAAAATGTGCTACTGAAAGTACGGTAACATCAGTGTCTGGTGATTGTATCACAATGCGTGGATGAGTGGCTGCAGCGTGTTTGGCATGAAGCAGAAGTCTTGTATCTGCCTCTTTATGATCCGAACGTAGATTTGGCTCAACAACTGCGGAACCACTAGTTAGACACACTGCTTTTAATCCATCCTTGAATCCTCCTCCTAGGACGACCTTCTGCCGAGGGCCTAAATATGCCGGTAAGTTCTTTGTTAACGACTCACAGAGAAAGGCGGCAAAGTTTTGTTTGTTCTTTGGGTTTGAGATATATTTTGACCACTGCTTTGGTACTGGCGTGGATCCACTGTGGATGTTGATGTCAAACGAGCTTGATTCTCCTCTCTTGCTGCGTTCCCCTGCCTTAATTGAGACAGGCCTATATTGGTCGAAAATTAGGTCTACTCTGGTGTGACTGTTCTGATGGAATTTACTAGTGACAATGTCTTGGTATTTCTGCGATAACTGGCTAAATGTCGCAGACCTTGCTGATTTAACCATCTGAATAAGAGCCATCGCATCAATTAGACATGCTGTAGGGTGCTGTGATGAAGGTAGGCTTGATCTACACGTAACATTGTTTTCAAGGACATGCATTAGGGTGCTTTTTGTCGTCTTCCTGAGGCTGCCATCAGGATGTACAAGTGCGACTGGTACACTGCAAAGTTCATAAGAAAGAACCTCTTTGAGATCAATATCCCTGTTCCTTGCAGCAACCAGAAGGCGACCAAAAAGCACACAATCAGCATTAACAGTTACAGTCTTATCTTTCTGTTTGCTCACTGCAACTTTCTTTGCCACAGAACTGAATGTTTTAATCTTCAGCCGCTGGATTGGATCCCAGAAATTTATTTCATTTCTCTGGATTGGCGATGATAGAAAGGTTTCCATGCTTTTTCTGCCTAACTCTTCTGCGTTGAGAAGAATGCTTCCATCTGCGCCTGGAAGAACAACACCAGTGGCAAGATTACTTAAGGTTAAGGGTATTTCCTCTTCTGAGATTTCTTCTGGAATCTGAAAAGGGTCACTGAGGAGACCACTCTTGAAGGTTTCAAACAACTTCTGTACGTCTCTCTCATCTCTGCTCACTCTTGTGGCTTCAGCCTCCTTGTTGTCCCAATGCGGTCGCAGTTTTCTAGACCACACATCTCCTTTAGTGCATGTGTCATGGCTGCTCGCTCGTGAATGGTTAAGAACCATCGGTCTACAGCATCTTCGTTCGTACTCATTCCAACTATGCCCCCCTTTGTCTTGGTATCAAGGTTAATTGATTGTTCCAGGGCCATATCCGGCCAAACTTACGCAAATGGTTGGTTAGAGCGGCTTACACTGTGGTTTCCAGCAATGAACTCTTGGTGAACTGCGGGGTGAGTTAACTGCAACATGTGCATGTTAGAGAGATAGACTGGAAGCCATCTGGAATAGTTGACCCTGTCCATAGAGAAAAAATGGGGAACCATTTCTGTTGTGGCGGAGAGGTGGAGTTTCCAGTTTCCGGTTCGTTCAGCTTTAACAAACTGCAGAAGCAGCAGTACCATATTAATGTATCCTTCTCAGAAACTAAAAACTTTGGACTTTTCTCTGCCTTCAGATTTGAACCACTCAAACAGTGTCATGAGAGGATTAACACAACCTTGAAATGCTTTCCAGGCATCGTTAACGAAGCAATCCTGTCTCACTGTATTCCGACACTCCCTGCTTTGGTCAGCAACACTTTGTCTGACTCGGTCATCCATACCAACTGCTTGTCGTGACAGCCAGTCTAGGAAGGCTTTCCACAACAACCGGAAGAGCGCCTCCATGGTTAATTTGTGGGCACGAATACCTCTGTTATATGACTTGCCAAGCATCAAAACCGAGGTAGTACCAGCTGCATAAACCCCTGACTCAATCAGTAAGTCTTCCAAGCCTGACTGTGCATACTTCTTTCCAAGCAGAGAGAGAAAGTTAAGGGCAATGTGGAACCCCCCCATTCTGATCACAGTGTTTTTAAATTCCTCTGGGTATTTCATTTGTAGCTGCTTAGCTTTTGCGTAAAGGGCAAGATCAAAGGTAATTACAGAATCGTGCTGTCCCATTGTGTCGCATATCTTTTTTCATCAGGGTGTAAAGAGTGCTAAAGTTGCTAGACTCTGCATGGATCATTGGGTGATAGCCGATATTGGTCTTCACAGGAATGGTGGGGTGTGTGATGGCATTGAACCCACTCCAACCAGGTATAGTCTGTTCCTCTGGAGACTGTTGATTAGATGCCATGAGAGGATCAGAAAGACGAAGTAACATCCAGCAAAGGTCATCCATGCGGACAGATAGAAACTGTTGGTCGCACTGAAACCAGGTAATAACATCGTTCCCCACAAAATTAGTTAATGTAGGACGTCTGCCTCCGAAACTAACTTCCTCCATGGCAACTACATTTTGAGCAGAATCCAGTGATCGCTTCTTCTTGGAGTGGTCAGCAAGCACAATCCGTTCTGGCAGAGGACCGTACTGCTTTGGCTGATATATAGCAAGTGTTGTTGCATGCGTTGTGTTCTTGCCGTCGATGGTTTCTTCATTAATATCGTTGTTATCAGCCGCCAACTGAATGAATGCACCAGGTCTTATGTTAGTAGGGATCACAACACCACTGGCATGTGCTCTCGCTAAGCTTTCATTTGCCAAGCTGGTCTCCACTTGTTCGATCTCTTCATAGGAAGAACAGTAACCCATTCTGTTTAAAAGTGTTATCAGTTGTTTGGAACCAGTTAAGTGCTTGATGGTCATAGCAAGACCTACGTGCTTGGGCAACTTTACCCTGACATGTGATGCACAATGAATAAGATCCTTGCCAGCCATTACAATCTTCCGCTCATCGGTTGTACTCCTTGCACTAGAAGGTGAGTCGTCGCTGCACTTTTCTCCAGTAACAATCCACCTGATAAGCCAATAAAGGCTCTTGGGAAGAAGAGATTTTGCAGTATCCAAGTGTAAATCTCGGATGTCAAGTGGGTTGATGTTAATGCCCTCACATCTCAGCATCTCCCGCCTGATAATGGAAGCTATAGTGTAGATGTCTAGGAAACTGAAAGTTTCTGACTCTGGCTTATCCATGCTGATAGAGTTTGTTTCGTCACGTACTGGACAACTGCTTGCTGCATTTATGATATCAATTAAGGAGATGGAGCTGCTGAAAACAATTTCCGGTCTGGATTGCTGAGGTGACTGATGGAAAACAAGACATTCCTTAAAATGAGCCATCAATCGTGCTTTCAGCTTCTGCTTTGTGTAGCTACCTGCATCAATTCCTATCTTTTCCAGCTCCTTCTTGAACATTGCCAGCAAAACATTCATGTCGTAGGCTTTTCCTTTCCTCAATTTCGGGGGTTATGACCTTCAGTAACTGATTGAAGGCTTGATCAAAAGTGCTTTCCTCTCTTGTGGATGTAGCGACATTCTGTTTCCGCTTGATATTAACCTTGCTGATATAGCAGGCATGACACGCTTTGTGGTATTTTCCCTCCGCTGCAATAAGATCATAGCTAACCAACCGAAGTATGGATAACAGTTCATGGTCTCCTCTTGCCTCTGCAGATTCCTTTATACTGTTGCATGCTTCAAAGGTGGCGATGTTTATTAGCTGTCGGTCCTTTTTTCTTGTTGCATTTTTGCAGAAAAGACACTTTGACCAATCAAACACCATGCGTCGCTCTTTAGATTCTGCTTGAACATCACTTGAGGATTGTACTCCATAATACCGTAAATTCTGTTTGCTGGTATATGTTTCGTAACACGATGAATGCCACAAAATATCTTTCCTGGCTTCATTACGGAGATTGTCAGCTGACAAACGATGCGAGATTTCATCTTGCCGAACTTCAAGAGCAGATATGACTTTCTGTATTGAAGACAGTTTTCCAGAGCAAAGGACGTCACTGCTACTCTGGCAAAAAATGCACTTATCGAAAGAAGTTTTCTTTGCTCTCTTTGCTGGCATGGGAAAAAGCTGCCAACCATCCTTTTCCTCCATGTCGTCTACAGCATTTGTGAGACTTATTACCTGTGCAGATAATTTATTTCCAGACGTTTTCACTTTTAAATCGGCTTTTACAAAAAATACATCAGAATTACGTATCTGACAGAGTTTTAAAATAAAAATGAGCTCTGTCTAAAAATCCTGCTGATAACCTCAACACATTGCCAAAACATGTTTTTTAATGGAAGGAATATGATCAAGCAGGAAAGGAAGTACAAATGATAATATTACTAGCAGGTGCAATAGCGATGTTCTAGAGTCTCAGCGCATGAATTTTGAGAAAAACGAGAGCAAACAAGTCGCCGTAATACAGTTAAGATATCAAACCTTACCTATCTTGAACTCTTTGATGGCCGTTTACATCCACAATCGCATACAAAACTCCGTTTACAAATCTGATTCTGAGAATCCAAAATGGCGGTCTGAAAATAAGGCCTGGATACTAATTTGCCATGGCTTGAACCATTCCTTATCTTTCAGAGAAGACAAGGCATTCATTGTTCCTAAAGCAACCATAACCACTAAAGCTCACTACTTTAAACCACACCAGACAGAGATCAAGGATATTTAAGGCGGTATATAGCCTTTATAGAACGTTCTGTTGAAAAAAATATTGAATATTTTAAACTTCGAAATAACACTGCAGTCTACTGATATTCATAAAATCTGAATTTATATAAGAAAAATGTTCATTAAAATTATATTCTTGTGATATTACTTTTTTACATCTTTTTCATACCACTTTTTCAAAGATTTGACCCGTTTTGAGGGTGCTTTTATTCCAGCCTCGTTTCCATGTAAACAGTGACGGAAGAGAGACCAGCAGTAACATTGTCGATTTTCTGGAGTTCTACGCTTCCAAATGTTTTTTTTTAATGTAATTCGAAAGTACACGACTTCTTTGTATCCTCATATGATGAAAAGCCTGAATAAGTCCTTTACCTTAGTCTCAGCAGGATTTGAAATATGTCAGGATCGACAAAAGAGGCTGCTTTTTGACGAAAAAATAGTCATGTGATAATCACGTGACATGCTGTCGTACCATGTGAACACTCATATTGTAGGCAGGTGCATGCTCATCACTTTTCCAGAAAGGTTTGGGGCACTTTAGCGGAAGAAGATGAAATTTGAGGTCAATTTCTGTTTGAGCCTTGTCTCTATGCTAAGTGCCATTTCATGGTATAAAGCCCCATTTATCTCGTCAGGGGTACCACAATTCGGGACTACATAGTATCTTATCTTAAAGAGCAGGTATTGGTCTATCAGAATCAGCTGTCAAACCTTTTCTGTCGGGTGGGTTGAACGAAACCATTTTTTGTTGGGTCTGGCTCCTTGACTAGAAACACAGTCAGCAATATCGTTTATGTATGACACGAATAAAATTGGGCCAAGGATGGTGCCCTGCGGGGTACCAGATACCACGGGCGCCCATTCAGAAAAGGTACCTCTAACAACAACTCGTTGCTTACGGCAGGTGAGGAAGTGCCTTAGCCAGTTGATTAAGTTTCCTACAATACCAAGGCTACGTAGTTTAATAAGTAGGCGCTCATGGGGAACACTGTCAAAAGACTTGGCGCGATCCAAGAAGATGACGTCTGTTGCAAAAGATGAATTTCTCGATTTCGCAAAGTCGTGGATAGTTGAGAGTAATTGAGTCGTAGTTGACCTGCCCTGCAGAAAACCAAATTGGTTTTTGTTTATCACGTCTAGGTTATGCCAAAAGGATGTTATCCTATTTCGTACAATTTTTTCGCTGATCTTGCATACGATAGAGGTAAGCGAGATTGGACGGTAGTTTTCTCTCAAGTGTTTAGAACCTTTCTTATGGAGTGGAACAATATCTGCTGACCTCCAGTCTTGGGGCAAATGCCCAAGCTGGAAAGATTTGTTTACCAAATATGAGATCGAAGGAGCTAACTCCGATGCGCACGATCTTAAAATTACTGGTGAAATACGATCTGGTCCCGGGGACTTGTTCGGTTTGAGGGACTTGAGACACTTCATTACTTCGCCAGAAGTGCAGGAAATAACATCGAGTTTCTCGCTGACTGTAGGTTCTAAGGAAGGCATATTTGCGAGGTCCTCAGTAGTGAATACAGAGGAAAAGTACGAGTTTAAGCTGCTAGCAATGCTAGAATCATCTGTCAAGACTTCGTCGCCAACATTTAAGGATACTAAATTATTAGTACCATTGCGTTTACGCTTAACGTAATTCCAGAAAGGCTTAGAATCACCACTGAAGTCAAGTTCCGAGGCCATGTTATTGATGCAAGTCCAGCGAGCTTGGTTGCATTCTCTTTTCACAGCATTGTTTAGCTTTCGGTATTTCTCTCAAAGGACGGGGTTGGCACTTTTTCGAGCTTTGCTATAAAGCGATTTCTTTTTCCTGCACAGTTTAATGAGGTCCTTTGTTATCCAAGGTGCGTTACTTTTTCTCTTGCTTTGACACAAGGGAATACATTGATCCATAGCTGTAAACAACAAGTCTTTCCAGCAGGACCAGTTATAATCAATGTCATCATCGAAAAAGGCACAGCTCCAAGGAATATAAGATAATAAAGACTTCAAATGTGTCCAGACAGTCTTGCTGTACGAATAGAGAAGCTTCTGGGATTTACGCTGTACATAAGGCGAGCAGAGGATCCTGAAACTAAGGGATCTGTGATCAGAAAAACAATCTCCAACGAGTAATCAATCCACAATATCTGGCGAAGTTGAAATAACTAAGTCCAGAATATTCTGATTCCTTGTAGGCTCTCTGACTAGTTGCGTTAAGAAATTATCCTGGATTATGTCAATTAAATGAACATAAATATCTGATTGATGCAGAGCTCTATTGCATGACCAGTCAATGTCCGGCAGGTTAAAATCTCCGAGCAGAATTAATTCGGCTGTTTAATTCAATTCTTGAATACAGATCCGGAGGTCTTCTAAAGGCTTTGTATCTCCTCCAGGGGGCCGATAGAACACACCAAGGGTTATCCGCTGCTCGTGAGAGAAGAGCAAGTCAATGAAAAGGAATTCAGACTCACACTGATGAGTTACGCGAAGAGTAGCTGGAATGCAATCTCGAACTGCAATTAACACACCACTGCCATGACGGCCATTGGTCGTACGATCTTTCCTGAAGACAATGTAGTGTGAAGGGAAAATTTCGGAGTCGAGAATGGAATGGTCCAAATGCGTCTCAGTTAGTACAATTAAATCGTAGTTCCTCTGAGACATTTCCAACTCAAGTAGGTCGAGTTTGTTGACGATACTGCGAGCGTTTGCATAAAATGTGTGGAGCCCGCGGAGGTTAAATCCATCTTGTCGTGGCTCCAGGTTTGCAGCGCTGGAGTTAACTGGGCCAGGGTTTGGATTAATATCACCACTTCTCATTAGAAATGATGTTTGGAAGCTTGAGACGGAGTTTGGATAGTAGGCAACTCTCGAGGATGAAAACCCTTTGCGACTGATAGTTGGTGTGTAATGGCGGCTGCATCGTGTTTGGTTGTAGGCGACAGCTCGTTCAAACAATCCAATCGACGATCCATGAAGAGGAAACCGTGTAAAATCATGATTATCAGATGTATGCGGTCTCGCGAGAGTGAAAACAACTTCTCCCCAGTAAAGATAAGGGAAAGAAATAGCTGAAAACTGCGAGAGCGCCTGAACGCATGACCTACCGCCATCATCGAAAATTTTTACACATCATTGGATTGTTAAAGTTAGAATTATATATTCTTCCATTATTACTCCAACTTAGGAATATAATTGTTTACTTGATTAACAATCCAGTCAATTTCCTGAAATACACCTATGTTGGTATCACAAAACCTTGACTATTTACCACTATTTACCAGTATCAATGGCATCTTTCAGAAAACAGATATTACTATACCAGGGATTCACAAACCTAGGAGTATTAAATGCTTAATATACCAGTAATTTTCGTTAAATATCCCCATGTTGGTACACCTTGTAATTGACTATTTTGCCAACATTGGGCTAATAATGGAAGGTTTTAATCACAAAATTATAGATTCCATTGTTATTCCAAGCCTGGAGTATAATATTGTAACGATACCAGTATGTTCCCTGTAATCTTCCAATGTTGGTATGCTGTTATAGTAATTAATTTCCCATTTTCGGTTATCATTGTTAAGGACATCATTGGAAAATCAAACATACCAATTTTATTCCTAGATTGGATTTTAAACATATCAATTTACCTACAAATGTCCAAGAAAACTCCAATGATCACTTAGTATGTGTTTCCCAAGTTTACCAATGTTGGATTTATATTGGTATCATCAATATTTGCCAATAATATTCCAATAATGGTATCTTAAATTAGCTATTTACCAATGATTTTCCAGTTTGGTTTCTCTATTTTTTTCCTGTGTCTGAGTACTTGCCTAGCAACAAGCTTCAGTAGTTCTTCATTGTCCTTAGGCTTTTGACAAGTAATTATGTAACCTATATATGAAGTGACTTTTGCATCACTATCTGTACCAAACTGTGGTGCATCTTTAAGCCATATAAGCATGTGAATGTGAGGTGAACCTCTTTGTTGGTATTCTACTCTGTAAAACCAGTCAGAGATACTTCCTACCGGTGAAGCAGGGCTTAAGAGGAAGTTTCTAAGAAACTGGCTTATTTGAAAATCAAAATGCCTTGCACAAGTTACAGGATCACTCTGTATTAGTCGACACTTTTCCTCCCAATTCAAGTTCTCTAGTTCATCATCGGTATATTGCTTGTGATCAACAACTTGGCCAAGTATTCTCAGTAGATGTATCCATCGTGTTTCGGCTGACAAGAAGCTACAAAACAGTGAAGCTGGACCTAACTGTCTTATCATTGCAAAAAGATCTTTCTTAGCCTTCTCAAAATAGGAAGGTGATCCACGCAATGCTGTTAGAAATTTATATACCTCGTCATGACGTATTAATCTTTCTAATGCTCCTTCTTGCTTTATGTGACCTGCATTTAAAGACCTGCTATTTATCTTGCATTTTCTCAGGGCAATATGTGATTTTCCTAAAATGATTTTCATTTGCAGCTTTTTGGCTTTGAAAAATATATTCTCAACACATATGGCTGCTCTTCCATCTGATCTCCTCAGTTCAGACTTACAGATATTGCTATACTGAGCTTTAACCTTGCGTTCTTTAATTTCTGGTCTTTTCATACCAACAAATATACTAGGATATGCTAGTTCTTCACAACATTTATCCCTAAATATGCTCAGTGGTCTATTGCCCTCGGCAGGTGCAACATTCAGAATATCTTGACGTTCACTGTCTTCTAAAAAATCAGTTGATGTTAGCATTGTATCAGTAACACCAGCAGGAATTTCTTTCTCATCTTCACTCCAATTATCTTCGACATTTACTTTTGAGGAAATGTCACTGTGGGTTTGCTCAACTGGTATTGATTTCCCACTTTAACCTTGCGTTCTTTAATTTCTGGTCTTTTCATACCAACAAATATACTAGGATATGCTAGTTCTTCACAACATTTATCCCTAAATATGCTCAGTGGTCTATTGCCCTCGGAAGGTGCAACATTCAGAATATCTTGACGTTCACTGTCTTCTAATTTAAACTGCTTTCCCCTAGGAGCTTGCATTAGCTTTTGAAAAGCAATTCTTGGGGCTAACAACCTCCACTCTAACTCATTTAGATCTAAGAATGCTGGCTTTTTTGGAAATTGCATACCATTTACAACAGCACATGGCGATATTCTGTTTTTAACTAGGTAATCATAGCATGTTCTACAAACCCATTCAATGTCATTGACACTCACTTTATTGCAAAGATACTTGACAATATCAGGATTGGAGCATTTGAGATTTTCTGCTTTTTGGTTTTAGTTGTTGAGGCCTGTTCATGGAGCATATTTTCATATACAGAATAGAATGGCATTCTAGAATTGTTAGGCCTTGACACAGTATCATTGCTCTTTCTTTTGCATTTATTTGTACTATCGCTTGAATTAAGGTATGTCTTTTGACTGTTAGCCTGATTTGTACTTGATTCAGCTAAAGCTGGGGAGGTTGATATATAATGCAGCTCATCAATGTGCCCTATATAAATACATCTAGGATTTTGAGTCAAACTTGTTGCTTCAACCAAGGTCATTTCTGTAAAATTTGGATTAGATTCAATGATATGAATCTGTAAATTCATAGAATCTGCTACTGCTTGTATAATAATATGATCTGCCCATGTTCCTGGCCGAGACATGTTAGATTTATATTGTGACCAAGATGAATCTAACACACTTTCAATAAATCGTTCTGGATTATCTCTCATGTACTGAATACCTGCAGATCTAATTTCCAAGTGGTGATGTGAATCACCATATAACTGATGTGAATCACCATATAACTGATGTGAATCACCATATAACTGATGTGATACTGATTTAAAGATACAATCCCCTCCTCCTTCTACATCCAATTGATTTAAACCATGCCTAAGAAGTCTATAGTTGAGCAAGAAATCCGACCTGTCATTTGTTGTTGCTTGAGACAAAGTGCTAACATTTGTCACTGGACCAGGGTTTGATTCAACATCTCCAGATAGTAAAATATTTTTTTCTGACTCATTGTATACAGCCACTGTTGATTTCTTAATCTTGGTAAAATAACTGCTGTAAAAACAGCCTAGACTTTGAATATACCTGATGTTCCACTGCTTATAATTTGAAGCAATGTTGTGCAAAACAGACGAGAGAGGAAATGACTTCGTGAACAATTTTTTTGTCCTTTTTCCTTAGTTCTCTACATTTCATTAAACGCAAAATTTTTGTCAGTGAAATCCTAGATGGCTCTCTATCTGTGGATCTGCGACCCATCATTCGTAAAGGCTGTCGAAAATGTCTATATTCTCGACGTAAATCAGGTTTCCTGAAGAGGTTTACCATGGCTGGCCCATCAGTTACACTCACTTCACTAAAAGATGAATTTCGCTTATCGTGTGAATCACAACCAATAATCTTAACTGTATTTTCATAGTCAGAATCAGAGACAGTTCTCTTGAACCCCTGTTTACAAAACAATTCGAATCGCTGAAGCAAAGACGTTTGTTTAGCTTGTGAATGATCAGATGCTGCGCCTCAAAAGGCGATTTTTCTTTCCACAAGGAAGTTATTAGTTCCCAAGAGGGAATTTCTTGTGTCTCGAAAGACACGTTTACTTCCCATAAGGGAGTTATTTGTGTCCAAGTGGACATTATTTGTTCCCAAAAGGGAATTATTTTCATCTTGAGAAATTAGACTCACAGCGAAATGTCATACATGGAGCAACAGAAGCTGCTGTTGGGCTACACGAGTCAGTCTGCCATCACGATTGCCAAACAAGCACTTTGATTCAGGAATCGCTACTTTGTTTGAAAACTTGCAGAAACCGTCAAAAATCCTAGACAAAGTTTTAGCAGCAAACAACGGAAACAATGTTCGAGAGCTCTGTCTTGTTCCTAGAGTTAAATAGTACAAAACCATCGCTAATATATGACAACTTACCTCCAAATCCACCGCTGCCCAGAAACAGATCAGAAAACGTTGCTTCAACGTTCACCATGTGCTCATGTGATATGCGAAGAAATATCGACTGTGAAATCTCAACCTCGTCCCCAGGACCATGATCAAACGCTTGTCACAAACATACTTCGGACATGTCAATAAACCATCGACTGAGGAGTCCGCGTCCCATCGGCATTACTTAGGTTTTCCGAATTACGCAAACATACTTCAGACATGTTAATAAACCATCGACTGAGGAGTCCGCGTCCCATTGGCATTACTTCGGCTTTCCGCATTATGTACTCACTCACTTACTAACAACACGCTGACAATACGGTTCCGCTTCTATGAAGCTGAAACCATAAAAAACTAGGACAATAATAATTCCTTTAACCACTAATTTCTCCTTACAAAATCGCCCCTGGATCGCATATTCAGGTAACTAAGATAGATTAATTGATCACCTACTAAAATATAAAAAGGGTGTTCTTTCTGAACCAATCCAGACATTTACTTCATAGCCTAATGTGTTGTGTCAATTCGACTTTCATGTATATTAAGTTGGAAATAGTAAGATATTGACACATGTTATATATTTGTATCTACTACGTGGAATAACAATGTGGAAAAACAAAATTGTGTTCATTCACACATAACAAGTATAGCAAACTAACGAAAAACTTAAGTTATAATCGAATATCATTTAATTGCTTACACTTGAGAATTTGTAGATTTGTGGTTAGGTGAGGTATATATAGAATGAATTTGGTTGTTTTAGATCTCACACTTAAGGTTTAAAATTGAATTTATAAAGTTTATAAAGTTGACTGGTAGTACTGGTCATTGGTGATGGAACACAAATGATCTCTACTGGTTGAATCTGCCAGTTTTTTCTTTTCCCTTCCTTCCTTGTGGGTCCTCTTGTCCTTTTTTTTTTTCCTTCCTGGCCCCTTCATCTTCATTGTCATTGTCATCGTCATCATCTGATGGTGAAGTATTATCTAGAAGGCTTTAATTATGTAATGGTTTATTCATAAAAACTTGCATTAAATTTAGACTCTTAAGGGTTCATTCATTTTTACTAGGTGGGGGAGGGGGTTGGATGTAAGAGGATGGCAAGTACTCTACTGTAGCATTCATGGATGCTTTCAAGGCTGTGTGCTGGCGCAATGGGCTTTCTGCTTCCCAGGTTCCTCATCTACTGCTACCGCATTAGTAGCCTGCAAACTAGGTATCTCCTCCCGCATTGCCAATCTATGGGTTTTTGCCATGACGAGGGATTTCTTCAGATCTGCAATCACTTTTTCGTTGGTTTTCACAAGGTTGGTGAGTACCTGGGCATTGCTGTTCAGTTCCTCTATTTCTTGGTTTATTTCTCTCTAAATCAGCTGCCAGAGCCTTTTTCTGCGTTTGCAGTTCCTGGAAGGCCTTTCCCACTTGTTCGTGGTGTTGAACAAGCGTTTAATAATACAGTCTCCTGTAGTCTGTCGCTGGATCGTTGCTTTGCAAAAATGTGCTGCAGGCTTCCTGGGTCCTTTTCTTTTGCAAAGGAGGCTGAGATTGGCAATTGCATCTTCTTTTGTTGCCACTGCAGCTGTTACAAAGGACTAAACAGTGCAGTCTGAAGTGGTCGCCTGCACATGCAGTACATTTGAGAACTCTTTGTGATGAACTCCTGCTGTGTTTGCATAAGTGCAAGAAGTGATCATTAGCAACAGGAACATTACAATTAATACCTATGAGAGATCCCACGAGAGATATTTTTGTCCAATGAATTGTAAATAAACAAACATTTTGATCGGACGATTTTTATGGGACCAAAGTTTGAAAAGAAATCAGCATTAAAAATCCCACTCATTTCAGTCACGAATCATTTTGAGTTACTTGCGCTGATTTAGAATTTTTCAATCCATTTTCACATTCGTGGTTCATCATTGTTTTCTTGCATCCCAGTGTGAATGTGTGTGTAGCACACAGATGATTTTAACAGAAAGACAGAACACTACTGATGGTTACATCTGGGAATGTCCATCGAATAACTGCAGAAAGCATAGATCAGTCAGGGTTGGATCTTTCTTTGAAGACTTGAATATTCGACTTGCACAATGGTTGTATGTCATTTACCTGTGGTCCATTGGTGAATCCAACAAAAGACTCTCTTTGCTAACCAGATTATCATTTTGAACCATCATGACAGTGCAGGGTAAGATCTGCAACATCTGCTCCATGTAAATTTTAAATGGTAACTTCAAGTTAGGCAGCAGAGGAATTACAGTGGAGATTAATGAGTCAATGTTTAGCAACAAGCGAAAGTACAACCGTGGACATGTTTCTGGGGGGCAGTGGTTGTTTTGAATGGTAGAGCAAGATACTGGGAGAATGCTAGTTTTTTTCATTCCAGATCACCAATGAGAGACCTTGGTTACCTGACAAGAGCACGAGTCTGGTGATCATTTCTGACAAGTTGTCACCATACTTTACCTTGAACGATGTAAGCTACATCCACCTGATGGTCAATCACTCGGAAAACTTTGTTGACCCTTAAACTGGAGCATACAGCAACGCCATAGAGGGCCTCTGCTGTCAAGTAAACTGAAGCTGAAGGCATTGAATAGGACGACCAAAGCCAAACTGCCAGGATACCTTGATGAGTTCAACTGGAATAAACTCCATCAAGAGGGGAACCTGGGAGACAGGTTCCATCACATGTTGTCCCACATAGCGGAGATCTTTCCACTGAACTAAGTTCGTTTAGTTCAAGCCCAAACAAACAGCTCCTTTAGGAGCCACCAAATAAAAAAAGTCGATGACCAATGCATTGCTGTGTTTTAAAAATGAAATGAAACAAAGTTTAACAAGACTCTAAAAGAATATACTTTAATACCTCACTTGATAAAATACACTGACAACAACAAAAAAAAACGATAGCAGACTGCACTAAGACCTGTCAATAGGAAAAAAGGGATTATTAATCAGACGCACATGAAGAACTGTCAACTATAGTTTAGCAATGCATTTTGGGGCGATTAAAAAACTACTTTTGGCTTTGCTTATTTCTTACCACAAAATGGAGAAAGCCGCCGTTTTGTGTACAAACAAGGATATAAGATATAGGCTCTAAATTTACTACTAAATATTGGTACGTAAGGCCCGGAGATGGGTCAAACTAGCCTATTTCACCATTTAAAAAGCAGCAAGTATATAGGTACAAACAGTGCAATCAACGGGTTTCTATATACTGTTTTCCACTGGAAAAGTTTTTTATTCTGTTTTTTCAATTCAATTTTTGGTCTATTTAACACTGTTGACTGACTGTCAGTAATGTGTCAGCAATGTGTTGGTTACCTGTCGGCCAATAGTTGACCAACAGGTTTCTGACAATCGAAAATGGGAACCATTGTTTACTATTACCGGTTTTTAAATGGTTTCCTCGCAAAAGCTGTGCAATGTGTGTGGCATCTTCACCATGCAGCAATGCGGAAACACTTCCAACTTATATGCTCCCTTCAGGGGCAGCAGCAAGGAAGGTGGAGAGGACATATAGAGGGGTTTGCACACAAATACTATATACTAGTAACATGCTGCCTTTAAACCTTTGCTTTTCCTTGTAACTGATTTTAGACTTTTCTCTTGATCTGCTCTACATTAAAGAAGCGAGGAAACTATTGCCCTTGCCTCAAGGTAATCCCACATTGGAAAAGCAAAGGATCGTTAGGAATACAAAGAAAACAAAGACAGATCACCATATTATAAATATATATGTATGTATGTATGTATGTATGTATGTATGTATGTATGTATGTATGTATGTATGTATGTATGTATGTATATATATATATGTAAACTAGAAAAAAGATAAAAATATGAATAATTAGATGAATAGATGAATTACTTCTCAAAAACTCTGAGTCCGAATTTAAATTGAATCTAATAATAATAGAACTATGATGTAAAAATGTCTATTAATTATCCAATAAAAGAGATTACCACAAAGTTATTTTTGAGGTATTTCCGTCTGACAAAAACATATGTAACATCCAGAAAACAGGACAGACAGAAATAATCAGATCAAATTAAGTACTCGTGACTCTAACAGAAATTTCTTAGCTCTAGTCTTTAATATATTCTCGGAGTTTCTCTTGGTAAGAGATTTTAACTATCACATATTCTATGAAAAAAGCTATATTTTAAGACATTTTTCCAGCATACTTCTTTTTTAAGGTTAACTTGTCCTATTTCTTAATGAAAATCGGTCAACCTCTGAATAAAAATCTAGGTAAGAATGGACATTCATGTTAATATAGCCATATAGGGCCTTAGATAAAAAAAAGTCACATTAGGCAGTAGCCTTCTTTTCTCTTGTGACATGAGGTTCAATTTAAAGATTAAACGAGACTTAACTGAAAGTTGGAGTTTGATTGTAATTACATGAGATAGGAAGTACATGCGCCAATCAGTTTTCAAAGTCAATGCTTAATGGGCATGTCACCCAATACCATGCTGAGAGAGATCCCATGAAATTTCAAAGAGACATGCGTATGAACCCCAACCAGAAATTTCTATTTGTTTGAAAATTCAGATAACACTGACATTGCATATGTAGAGGTTGAAGTTATGGGCTTATTGTACTATTTTGCAAAAAAATATGCAGATGACCATCCTGTGGTCTGTAAAATATCATGTAAGCTAGCAGATGACTTACTGGCCGCAGAAACTGAAGCTGCTCCAGTGCTATGCAGCACATAGATGGATTTATCAAGGTCCGCTAAAAAACAGAACTTGGTGAACCCAACATATAACATCATACCTATACTAACTTGGTGGTAGGGTTTGATATAACTAAGTAATAATTTTGACTGAGAGTCAGTCATAAGAGCATGAGTCCGTGAAATATATTCTTTCAGTGTTACAAATACACAAATGCTTGGTTTTTCAAAAGCCTCAAAGTCTAACTGAGGATTAGACACACCTGGTTTACTTTACTTGACATTATCTGTAATAAGGAAAGTTATTTTGTCTTTAGATTCATACATGTTCCTTAGGTCCAATAATGAATGGTCTGGCCTCTCTGGCCTGACACTAATAACATCAACATAACAACTTTGTAAGTCAATTCTTGGGGAGATATTGTTTCAAGTGGATAAAGCCCTGATAGGTAATTCAAGACCACCTTAACATTTCGTACTTTGTTTATACTGGCGTTGGTAGTTGTGTCTTGTAAATTCCCTTTAGTAACCTGGTTACAAGAGGATGTTGTCCAACAGGTTTCCCATTATCTGTCATTACATATGTTGACAAGGCACTGTGTGCTGTAGTTAATGCACTGTAGGTTAAACCTTTGGAATACAGTTCAGTAAGGTAGTCTACTACAGCTGCTATAGGTGGGCTAATGTGATCAACTTTTTGTTTAGCAAAAAATGCTGTCCACTGCTTGAGGTAGCAGGAGTACTTTTTCTTGGTAGTACCTCCAAGATTGCATGAGCTACTTAACAGCTGGTTCTGATATTCCCTTTGTTGGGAACTGTTGCTGGAGAAAAAACATACCATCAGTTTTAGTTTTTTCTATAGCGGATGATGTGCCCTTGAATGTGGCAATGTTAGGAGATCCTGATGCAGTGGGAGTGTTACTGGCTGTGCCACAAGCAGCTTTAACATCTGAGGCCACCAGACCTGTGTGGGCCAAATTGGAGCAATCAGGAGTGCTGCATTCGTTTGATCTATTTCTAATTTCTGAAGGCATCTGGAAATGAGGCAAAAAGTAGGAAAAAGATAAACAAACTTACCATTCCAACATTTAGAGAAAGCATCTATTTGAGAGGCACCTGGATCTGGCTTCCACAATATATATTTCGGAAGCTGATGGTTCAGCTTTGATGCAAATAAATCTATGTCTGGGAAGCCTAAGGTGTCAGTTATCCTGCAAAAATCTTGAGAGGGTTAGGAGTGACTCCTGGTGTTGGTGAACGATAACTCTGTGTTTCAGAGTTAGTCATTGTGTCAAATGGGTAAGAAATAAGCAAATTTTTCTCACTTGCAAAAATTCCCTGTTTAACTGATCGGCATTTCATGTTGCACTGATTGGCGCATGTGCTTGCTATCTCATGGGATCTCTCAGCATGGTAACAAGGTAGAATGTCTTTAAATGAGTCTCATAAGGGTCTTCAGTTTTTAAAGTGCATCTGATCGCTCTCCTCCCTATTCTTTCCAGTTTTTCAATATTGCTTTTAGTGTACGGTGACCACACCACGGAACCATATTCAAGGTTAGAACAGATCAGGGTGCAATATAAAGTTTTCAGGGTCCTCGACTTGAATTTCAATACAAACTTTGGGATCCTCACTGTGATTTCACCCTGATTACAACTTCCACCTGATCTTCCTGTACACACGTTCACAAAAAGCATGCAGGCGATCACCAAAGGAATCATCGGTTGATTGTGACATCAGTTCTAATTGTATTACAGGCAAATTATTCTCATTGCATGGCCTCCGTTCGTCAAATTTCTCACTGCACCCTTTGAAATGAATTTTAACCATGTTTCTTGCTTCGTTGACCTGTGTTATCTTTACAGGATCCTCATCCACAATTTTTATTTTCTTGCCTTGCTTGGTCTCAGCTTCAGCAAATTTGTCGATAAATGTCTTTGGAATCTTACACTCCCGCTTCACTCTGTTGACCACCATTTTTAAATGAGATTACATTCATTTTAATGTCAGTGCATGCACGACTCATAGAGTAGAGGTTTGACATTTCAAAACAGGTCTCTGTTCAAGAACAAGTGTTTTCCATCACTGTATAGCCTTTATTTTAAGAGGGTGACACCAATTACTTTGAAAACTATTCTCCCTAGTGGCCCTCTAAAAACAAATTTGATAATAATAAATCACAACAATAAAAAGCCTATTACAAATAGTAACTAGAGCCACTACTTGGAACTTACCGGGGCCCAGTGGGACACAGGATTACATACATATAGTTGATCTCTCGCACCGATCCCCCTCTTCTGTGGAGGCTAATACCGACGTAATTCGCAATCAGAGACAAAAAACTCTTTAAGTCGCTTTAGTATTATTATTCTTCCATATTTTAAGTACCAAATCGTGGCTCGAATGCTGCTTTAGCCTGTTAAATTTGCGAATGTGACTGGGCATTGTAAGTGATGAGGCAAAAATTAAGAAAACTTTCGCATATTTACATTTTCGCTAATAATTTTTAAGACGCAAACGTAGAGGTTTTTCCAGCAAAAAGTTTGAACACCTGCTTAGATGTAAGTAATTTTAATAGTCATTGTGTCAATCAACTTTAATAATATTAGAATTTTCTTTGAAGTATGCATTCTCGTTTTAACATTAACAAACCTGTGTAAAAATAATTGTTCGTTAACATGAAATATTCGATTTCGAGCCTGTGCTGATCATGCGTATAGAAAGCTCAATGTCATGAAAATTATCGTTATTTTGTTATATCATTAACAAACCTTTTTAAAATAATTTGTTTACATTAAATATTCGATTTCGAATTTGTCCTGGTCGTGCGTATAGAAAGCTCAATGTCATAAAAAACTCTCGTTATTTCGTTATAACATTAACAAACCTTTTTAAAAATAATTTGTTTACATTAAATATTCGATTTCGCACTTGTCCTGATCGTGCGTATAGAAAGTTCAATATAAAAAAAACTCTCGTTATTTCGTTATAACATTAACAAATCTTTGCAAAAATAATTGTTCGTTTACATGAAATATTCAATTTTGAACTTGTCCTGATCGTGTGTATAGAAAGCTCAATATCCAAAAAAAGGCCAAGGAAATGTCTAGTTGATTTTAGAAACAATCAAAGTGTCTTTGTTGTAAGTGATAGAAACATTTTCAACAAAAAGCAACTTTTGAGCTAAAGTTTGTTCATCTTGATTCAAGATGTTGTCAACGAGTTGCGCAAGGACTTGGTTGCCCATCTTTACAGACAGTTTGTTGTCTTGATCATCCATGACAATCATTTTAGCGGTTATGCCCATTGAACATTCGTCGCTTCGCATGGTTCCGCACTGATCACATTTAACAGTGTCTTGGCACGTCCCAGGAAGGTGTCTACTACAGTCCGGGCATTTGCTGAACTTGTCGAACTTTTGAGTTTCTTGAAGCGTTTCACCATGAGGGTTTCTTGTGGTTCGGTGGTTTCTTGTGTTTGAATTTCTACAGTTTAGTTCTTGGTCTTCTTTTATTTGCGTAATGTTGGTCTTCTTTTGGGTTGCCAGTTTCTCTTTGTTGGACCATATCCTTACTTGCAGAGGTTCCATGAGGTAAACTTTTCCGATTTCAATGCTTTGAATATGTTCTTCCCATATATCTAACGGGATCGAAGCAGTCGAGTCGGCCACGGTGGCAACGGCCAGCTTAAGCTTCTTCGATCCGATTTGGATGGCTTCTTCTTTGTGGATAACTTTCGCTTTTAAGGAAACTCTGTCCCATTCTTTGCCTTCGTTTAGTTTGTCGATTATGTTTGTAGCGATTTGCTTTTCCTCTGGCACCTCAGCATACTGAAATGCGTACTTGCCGGCTGTAGGTTGACCTACGTATGTCATGTCATTGATTACTATTTTATCGTCGCTTGCTCTTGCGAAGTCTTTAATTTTGATTGGCTTCTTCGTTTGTTGGCTGTGAACGAAGATCTTGCGTTTCTGAGGAGAGTACAGTAATGCTTGGCACGTTTTTACTGGCGACGTCTGGATTCTCATGGTTACATAATCCGTGGTATTACTTCGGTTTCTTTTCACTTCTGATACATCTTGTGCGTATCCTATGAGTGTCTTCGTTTTTACGCTTACTACTTGTCTTATTGACAGGGGACGACATTTTACAGCTTTCAAGTATCAGAGTTGTTACAGTGAGCTGTCGTATGTGATCTTGGCTTCGTTTAGGATCAAGGTACATTTCAAGCTGAGTTCTGTGCCGACAAGGTGATTTGTTATTGTTCCATTACATCTGTGTTTTTATTGGTCACTTTTACGCAATTGCTGATTTGATTGGTCCAGATTCTTGATTTTCGATCCGTTTTTGTGGTTATGATCGTAGTAATGACTTAGCTTGTGAACAGACTGATGCGATTTTTTTATTAGGTTGTTATTTTTGGATGACTCACGTTTTCTGCAATAAAACACATGTTTAGATTAATGTTTGTTTACTACTGAAATGATCATATAAGTTTTGATATGGAATAATAATTTGTAATTTTTTTATCGAGGATATTACTTGGTTGCGCGGAAACTAAGCGCAGCGAAAGAATATAATATCTAAATTGGGCAAGGGAAGGTAAAATTTATTTCTCCATTAACAGGTTGATGTCTTGAAAATTCTACACTAAAACTAAAAAATATTACGCCATGACTATCAATAAAATTCAGAGATTTGTTGAATATACGTTTGCGTAATATCTTCACTAAATATGAATATTTCTAGAGAAACCTTGTTTCTCACTGATATCTATTTAATAAACGTATTCGCACTCATGAGTTTTGATAATTATATATACTTAATATTATTCTTACCTTTCAATTTTGAATATTTGTGAAGTAGCTGCTCTGTTTGGATTATACTGTGTAATGTGCTGGACAGGTACATTTGTTATTTTCCTTTCTAAAATATGTTATGGTGTCAAAGTCTTTGTTTAATGTGTTATTGGTGTTCTAAGGGTATAATAGGGACCTTAAGCAGCTTCGTCGAGGACGAAAACGAGAACGAAATTATGACGTGGCATGCTCTAGGACACTGGGACGAGAACATCGTTTTCGGCGCGAAAATTGAAAGTTAAGCACCCGCGTCTTGTACAAAGACGAAGACGTCAACAAGTGAGGCTCAACAAGTGGTGGTTTTAGTTATGTCGTTGTTTAAAGACATCAGGGATTTTGTTTTTGTTGGATATGCCCACGACATGTTTGATGACGAAGAATTCTGCCTTCTCTATGACTTTTATCAGTCGAAGAATCCGGATCTTCCTTACAACTCGTACACGTCGTTCAATTTGGGGGAAATGGATCCTGCTGAGTGTTATACCGAGTTTCGAGTTGAGAAATGGCACATTCCCTTGCTGGCAGACAGGCTACAGATTCCCCCAACATTCCATTGCCCACAGCGTTCTGTTTGCGATGGCATAGAAGGGCTATGTATGCTACTGAAGCGACTGGCTTATCCCTTTCGATACAGTGATATGATGCACAGATTTGCAAGGCCAGTTCTGGTCTTAAGCATGATAACAAATACTGTTCTCGATTATGTCTATGACAGGCATGGCCACAGACTAACTCAGTGGAACAATCAAGTTATGGACCCCAACCATTTGCAGCAATATGCAGACGTAATTTCAGCTAAAGGCTCTCCCTTGGACAACTGTTTTGGTTTTGTCGATGGCACGGTTTGACCAATAAGTCGCCCAGGACAGCACCAGAGGGCTGTATACAATGGACACAAGAGAGTCCATGCATTAAAATTTCAATCTGTTGCTCTACTGAATGGGTTAATAGGAAACCTATATAGCCCAATAGGTAATAATAATTATGGATCAATATTTGTTTCTGGGCAACCGAGCTCGATATCGATTTGTCGTACTCGATTACCATTCCTGCTCGATAAGCAAACGACGTTTGATAATCGAGCTCGATAACTACAAGTCGAGCTCGATTGCTAATCGAGTACGATTACTAATCGAGCTCGATTAGTTATCGAGCTCGATAACTAATCGAGCTCGGTTACAGTACTAACGAGAAAGACTGGGAAAGAGTCAAACACTGATTGAGGAGGACGATGGCAGGTAGTGTTGTTGCAAGAACCTTGGTCATTAGGTGAGTATTTCGTAAGTTTTCGTTAAGTTTCAGAGATAGCATTCAAAGGGAAGGTGTAAAAGGAAGTGGGAGCAAATGTATTGGAAACAGAAATTTTCCCAAAGCACGAAAACCCCAGGTCAGGTGTAGTCATTTCGGGTATAGAAGGATAAACTTAAACTTAAACTTAAACTTCGCTGGAATGGGACTTAATACAGACAAGAACAAACTTTTGGTAATCCTTAGTTTATTGTAAAATGTAAAATTTTTATGGTTAACTACGCAGGGGAATACTTGTGTCACTTTTAGATAAACTTGTGTCACTTTTAGATGAAAGTTCAGTGATATATGTATACTTTTTTAAAAACAAATAAAACAACTTCTGGTTTAGAGCAAGATTTTATAAACCATTCAACCACTGTGCAACGCAATTCCTTTCCTTCTTACCGAACTAACCAAAAGTAGCAACCTTTTAAAGCAAACTTGTATCTCGAAAACCTCGAGCTGGAGGTAATACTTCTGAGCAAAGTAATATGGGTACTAAACTGTGTTTTTCAAACTCTCATTCCTAATGACAAAACACTCAGCTGAATATTTAGGCTTGCAGCTTGGGAAAAGTACTTAATTGCTTGGCAAACATACTTCTCCATTATAACAAAGGATGAAAAAAAAAATCACACTTACCTTACAAAAGGCACTGATGAGGAAGTCGCAAGTTTAAACAATAGGCTGTTTTACCTTGCGCTTAGCAATGATTTAATTGCTTTTGTTAACAATGAGGTCACCCTAAGGGGTTTTATTCATTTGTTCTAAACAACCGTGTGGAAAAAAGATACTTCGCATAAGTGTGATGTAGTCAATTACAAAATAAGAAACTCACAAAATCATCGAAATTTAGACCCGTTTCTCGCTATTGCTAGCTGACTAGACTCCAACAAGGAGAAGAAAATAATAAGTCCTTACGTCAGTATGCAGCTTTAGAGCAAGGCCTCACGATAAAGTTTTAAACGGTAATGGTCAAAAACGTTAATAGTAAATATATTTTTGGTAACCACCGTAAGGGAAAAAAACCTAACCGTTAGCCGTAAAGTGGCCACAATTTTATCCTTTAAACTTACCAGCCATCACCCCATTGGAACCCTCCACTATTTGGTACATCTTTTTATTACTGTTGTTCATTTATTATTTCTTTTTGAAAGTTCAACCTCAATCAACGCCGGTAGGCCGGTTGCCGAACACTGTTGCAACGGCACGAAGTTAACGCGTCATCGTTTAAACTCCATAAAAATCCAACCCACACTTAAAATGGGACTAATTCGGTAATCACCTTGGCCTATTGAAGAGATTAAAATGAAGGCGTTATCCAAAGATGGCAGGCTTTAAATTGTGAACGAAGGTATCGTTTTTTTACCGCACGAGATAGTAAAGTAATTATTTTGTACAATTCCTCTCCGCTTAAAGAACTGAGTATATGCCCAAAATTCGCATTTCCATTTCAATTATAATGAATTATTTTTAGTTTGTGCGCACAAATATTGCAACTTCTCCTTTTTAGTGGGCACGGTCAATTTTAAATAAACGTCATCTTTTTTTTTTCTTTTTTTTTTTTAACGCAGCTACCATCTTAACGCGCGGGGCTGACATAAATGTATTTCGTATTTAATTGAAGAACAACAACGGGGAAAAGGCGCTTTTCGGAGATAACCTATAAGGGAACTTGCTATCGATTACTAGCTTTAGTCCCTCTTTCATCGGGCGTGTGCATTGGCACAAATACCTTTAATCTATCTCCTTTTCAACTTATATAGTAACAACTTTTACATGCGTCTGCATGCCGCTACATAAAACTGTCATATAAGTTGCAAGTGTTCATAGCACAATTTGGATTTTTACTTGACTGCTACGTGATAAATACACCGACTTAAGAAAAAAAAACCTCAAAACAACACTAAAAGTACCGTGGGTTACAATAATAATTATCGACGTACTTAAGGTGTTTTAGAACGCACTTTTCCCATTCGATGTAGGAGACCTCTTTGATGTTAATTCAAAACTTCTAGAAGCAAGAGCATCCACCATAAAAGTCGCATCTATACGCGTCTATATATTCAGTGGAGAAGAATGCTTAAACCGGCCATTTTAATTTGTTCAAAAACGATAAAGGGTCTTTCCTTAACAATACTGTACAGGCGCTGCTGAGGATGCATAAAAAGAAGAAGTGTGAGATCAAACAGTTTTTTCGAGGAGTTCCCCAGAGTGCCACTTGGTAAACTCCTGCAGAAGGTTTATTTCTTCTCTGCTGAGGACTCCCAGCGACGAATTTCCAGGTACCTGGATTTAAATACAAGCTTGATAAGAAAAATTAGTAGGCGCTTACAGGATGGCTGCCCAAGAAACCTTCAGGACAGGCCAATCACGCCCTTTGGACTGGTGTAAGATGCGACGAGAGTAAATTCAACAACTAATCAAAGCTAAAAATCACTATTTTTCAAGTATATACTAACACGGGAAATAGCGTCGTAGATCGCCTGCACTCGGCCTGCACTCAAACTTTGAACATCCTTTGCTAATCGCCTCCGAGCAACTTGCCCACTATTAGCACACAAAAATTATGGCAACCATTTATAGCAGGAATAAATGAGTTTAAAAAATCACCTTTTTGTGCCATATTATATTACTGATATAGTATATACTAGGCAAATGTTCACCTCCAATCATTTCAATATTTTTGAAATATAAATATTTTCATAACCTTACTGTTCCTTAATTTTCTGGAACATGTGGTTCGCAAGCCGAAGTAGGTGGGAATGTGACAACAAAAAGCACTCAGGGCGCTTTAATATCAAAATTATTTCATACAGGTGAATGATAATTACACATAGCTGGGATAAAGCCTAAAGCAAAATATTAATGGGACAAAAATCATCCATCTGAAATATATATATTTTTTCATTATTTCAGAACAACTGGGGAAGACGTGCACAAAGGTACACATGGGTTTTTGGGATTGTTACGACACAACATTTACCTGCAAAAAGCTACTTCGATGAAGTGGAAAGACGAGATATGGCCACCCTCCATCCCATCATTTCAAGGTGTGTTCTCCCTGGAACCGAAGTGCACTCGGATGACTTGGCCTCCTACCGGCAGACGGACCAAAGAATTAACAACATAAGTGCACATCAAATGATTGTCCACCGACTCAACTTCGTTGACCCAGTCACTATGGGGTTGACACCCAAGAAATCGAATCCTGCTGGAACAGTTTAAAATTGGGCCAGAAAACACGCCGGAGGATAAGGAGGGAAGACTTGCAGTCCTACCTCGACGAGCAAATGTGGCGTCGGTGGAGAGCGGGAACCGCTCAGCAATCCATGCAGAACTTTTTGGCCGTTGTAGCCAATCAATATCTAGTTGATAATCCGGTTTTGTAAATACGCTACGGTTTTTACTTTCAGTTTTGGGAGAGACAGGTAAATAAACAATTAAGCTCTGTCCATGACTATGTTGAATAGGTTTTACATAGGTTAGGTCTACTGACCACACTGGTCCAGAAAGATTTTCTAACGAAACGACGTATTTTTTTTTAATATGCGATTTCAACTTGAATTTTAACTCATTATGAAAACCGACCTTTTCGAATTCCCCGATGTTTATTTTTCTTGTAACACTTTTTTTTGACGGGATGATAAGGGCTTTACTATACACATCATCTAGCTGCATTTCTTTTTTTTTTTGCCGTAGATGAAAATTATGATAATGCAAAAAAAAAAAAAGAAAAAAGAAAAAAACCAGTTTATTCATTTTCATAGATAGAGGCAAAGCTCTTTTTGGATTGTGAGAGAAAAATAACGTTTTTCAAAGCACCTGCGAAAGTGTGGTCGGGGCTTTGATCTTGGAAGTATTTAACGCACAACAATCACAGTGTTCAAAAATAAAACTTGATTGAAAAGTTCAAAATATTGGTGATTCAGTCGTAATCCTTTCTTAGGGAGAAAAAATAGTAACATTTTAAAACTAGAGTGCGATACGAATGTTGTTGTGTCGATAGATGACGCTGTTATTAGTCAGAAAAAAGGTGCGACGATATTCAGTTTTTTTTTACCGCTTCATATGCATGTCTTTTCCTTTCTTTAATTACCCTCTAAAAAGTTACAGTAAAAGTTCAAAGTAATATCTAAATGCAAGTTGTCGTAGAGAAAGCCGGAACGCACACGAGCGAAAAAAAGGGTGTCCTGATCTTAGGGAAGAGAATCGCTTAAACAAAAACGGCAGCGTGGGAAAATTTATTTTCAATATTCTCCCCACTTACTTCATATCCTCTCTATGAATCCTGTCTCTAAATCTCCTAAAAAACTTATGAAGCATTTCGCCGTCGGTATCGAGGTTTTTTTGCACACTCCATCGCACTCCATAAGGTTGGACTCTCCACCAGTCTTTCTCGTCAGTACTGTAACCGAGCTCGATAAACGAATTTTGTCGAGCTCGATAACTAATCGAGCTCGATTAGTAATCGTACTCGATTAGCGATCGAGCTCGACTTGTAGTTATCGAGCTCGATTATCAAACGTCGTTTGCTTATCGAGCAGGAATGGTAATCGAGTACGACAAATCGATATCGAGCTCGGTTGCCCAGAAACAAATATTGATCCATAATTATAATAATGTATGGAATTATTTATGCATGGTAGTCACTTCAGTTTAAAATTGTTAATTAAAAATAACCCTGAAAAATAAATAGAAAGATGAAGAAAATAAAAAAACTTAAGATGGCAAAAAATTCAAAAGCCGGTTCCTGAAAGGTGGAACAACATTATCCAGGGATAAAACTGTCGTATTCCAGTCATAACTTTGTCCTGGGATAAAGTTATGACTGGAATAAGGCAGACTTATCCCTGGAATAGAGTTATTCCACCTTTCAGGAACCGACCCCTGAAAAAAAGGTCAAAAAGGGTAAAAATCAGGAATCAAGTACTGAAAAAGTCCCATCAAGTGGAGGTGATTGATCTCTTCAGAGATATAATTTTGCAGATTAGAATATTGAATGAATTGTTTTGCAAAGAACTTAAATTTCCACCGGGTTCTCTACTGAGTATACACCACAAGGTCACAACCATTGTCCACGCTTCTAATTGTTTTCTAAACCTTTCATTTTCAGAAGGTAGAAGACATGATGCAGCTATATTAGCTGAATCAGGCTTGCTGCAAGATCTCCAGCACCATGCAGTTTCCCCCCATGGCCACCTAATGTGCTTATATGGTGATCCAGCTTACCCGCACAGAGTGCAACTCCAACAACCATTCAGAAATGCTGTTTTAACACCCCAGATGCAAGAGTACAATGCCAGAATGAGTTCTGTGAGGGAATCCGTTGAATGGCTATTTGGGGACATAGTGAACTACTTTAAATTCATAGACTTCAAAAAAAATCTTAAAATAGGCTTGAGTAGTATTGGCAAGATGTATTTGTCTGTGCAATTCTGAGAAATGCACTTACATGCTTGTATGGAAATGAAACTTCCAAGTTTTTTAATTAGACCCACCCTCACTTCATGATTATTTTGCCTAAATGTCACAAATGTACAGAAGCCAGTCAGACTAAACAACTTTAATAATGTTTTTTTACAGCATCACAACATGATGTGACGTAACTAACACAAGTATATAGGCAACAGCAGGCCATTAGCATTTTGTTTACATTAAATAGGAAAGTACCTAATGTCAGAAGTACACTGTAACAAAAACTACCAAACAAATTGTAAATAAACAATGCCTTACAAAGTGATATAATTATGAAGGCTTTTGAATGACAACAAGTTGGGACAAGGAAAAAACCCTTGTCACCTTTACTTCTTAACAACTTTTTCTAGGAGAGCCAACATAGCTTGTGTTTGCTGTGTTTGCTGGCTTACAAACATAGCCTGCAAATTCTGAAGTTGCTGCTGTTGCTGTCTCATCATAGCAGTCATTGCTTCTTGCTCACTCCTTCTTAAATTTAGTTCTTCTTGTTTCATTTGGTGGTCCCTCTCAGATTTGTTCTCCAGAAATTCAAGCATCTCACGTGAGCTGCGCCTTGTTTTTTTCTTCTTTGAAGAAGTTTCTCCCACATCACTTTCCCTGGTTTAGTCTGAGACATCCTTTCCATTGCCAGTCTTCTAATGTTGTCAGCACCTGCCTTGTCTTGCTCTGCTTTTCTCTTTTTGGTATCTCCAGACTCGATCTCAGCTCTAGCAGCTTTCTCTTTCTCCAAAATTTCTTCCAATAACAAGTCAATTTCTGTTGGTGTAACTTCTATCCCTGAAGCTTTCTCCTCCTCTCTTAACTGCTCTGCTTTTCTGGTTGTCAGAAGTGTGTAGCGACCACGTACGGATCTAGTTGTAACTCTAAACTTTGGAGCTTGGAGGCAATCTGCTCCCAGGCTTTTGCTCTTTCAACACTTCTAACTTTGTGGGCATATGGCTCAGTAACCAAAAGCTCTCTACAAAACAAGATGTCATGGTCCTTTGTCCAGACAAAGTTGGTTCT